AAAATAATCGCGCATTTTTCTTCGTATGCACCGCCGATATATGCCAATAACTCCTCTTCTTTTGCTTACCTTCAAAGCCAAGTCACCATCGCATTCAGCTGGGAAATTGTAAAGACATCTTACGCGTAACGGTTTGCTTATTTGTTGTTGGCTACCAGGAGCCATCGTCGACGCCACCTCATCCAATGGCACTTTTACATCGATATAGTTTACTGGAAAGATACCTTCACAGCCAGAGCGCGTACGACCACGATACCATTCGGCGCTCATCTGTTCCAGTAAGTAGATTTTCTCATTTTCCTATAAATAAACAAACCAAATACATACGTTTATTAATAAAAATTAGTAATTTTGAGTAATTTCTTTGTACGCACCCTAAAATTAAGATCACCCTCTTCGATACCTTCGAAGTCGTACAAAGCCACGCCATATGGTCTCGTTTCCTCCATACCGCTGCCAAAGCATGAACCACCACCTCCCAGTTGCAGTGCATCCGCTTTTCCCGATATCACGTCCAGTAATGAAACGCTTATTGGTGGCGGTGGTGGCGCACACAGCGGCATGGGTGGTGATGGCGGTGTTGGTGGCGTATCTTCCCCACCATACGCTAGCTGCGGCTTCGGCAGCACTGGCGGCTTGGGCGCACGTGGCTTCTGCGATATTTTCGGTTTGATAATCGTTGGCACACTAAGAGTGGGCGTCGGCGGTAAAAGACTCTTGCCATTGCAAAGCGGATTGTCGTTGCTGGACTGGATGCGTGTGTTGATTGTGTTGAGATTGCGTACTGGCGCAGTGCCAATGGTACTCGTAGCGGCTGTGCTGCCGTAAATACTATCGGTAGCAGTGTTGAAACCGCTATCGAAAGCCTCCCATGGATCGAGGGGACTCGTTGTGGCTGGACGGCTGCGCGCGCTGAAATCATCCTCGAAACCACTTTCCGGTTGAGAGACGCTGCCATTGTTGGGCGAACTGAAATTCGAATCAGAGCTGAAACTATCGACGCTGAGGCAATCACTATTCGATTTCTGTGTAAATGTTGGCGAACTTGGCGGCGAGTCGAAACTGATAAGCTGTGCTTCCGCTACGCCGGACGCACTTGCGCTGCTATTGCCAACAGCCAAAGACGTAAGCGACGTCGATGTGTAACTGCTGTTCCAGTTCGCCTGCCAACTGTTGCCGCCGCTGTTGCCATTTACTGCAGTGGAAGTGACAGCAGCCCAGGCGTTTGTGTTACTGCTACTGCTGTTGGTTGTTGTTGTAACTCCGACATTGTTGGTGGCGTAGACGCCACTGCTGACACCATATATTTTACTTGCTTTGTTATTGTTGTTGCTGCTGCTACTGTTGCTGTTTTTCTTGCTCCTGAATATGTTGCTTAACAATTTTGTTGAGTGCGTCGAAGGCGGCAGTGGAGCTTTGCGGCCATTCACCTGCACTTTGGGTGGCGGCGGACGTGGTGGTGGCACTTTCTTGCAATTACCATTTGTATTGGTGGCTGATGACGCATTAATGCGAAATGGATCATCATCCCAGTTTGTGGTGGGCGTGTAGCGTGCTTGTGGAAATTTGCGTGTTATCGCTGATTGGT